GGGCATGGGGTGAGACTCGTCTGTGACAGGGGGCCTGGGCCAGCCACCCAACAGCAGAACTCGCTGAAAACGCCCATGCAGGGCCACTGCCCTGCAGCACCCAGCCCTGCCCGCATCGGCCACTGCTCCCCAATCCCTCTGCCTGGCTGCCCTCCCCGCCACCTGACGCCACCCCCACCTGTAAGGCTCTCAGAAGGGCTGGCCTCCTCTTGTCCAGAACCTTCAGAGAGGTCTAACTCTCTCAGGGCACCCAGACTGCTTGGATCAAGACAGAAAACCTGATAAGCCACCCGCTCCTAGCTGCACCTGGGAAGAAATTCTACCACAATTCTTACTCATCCCTGGGGCTCCGCCAGACAGAACCCACTCTGCCCTGGGCTCCGAGCATGAGGAGGGCAGCTCAGCCGGAGCCACCAGGCAGGGCAACTTGCTACAGTCATTTATGACTGCAGGACAGCCCCACAACCAAGGTTTATAGAGACATGCCCTTTGATTTCTAACGGCATAAACCAAACCCCCGGAGAGGCTGTCAGGCCCAGAGCCAATGTGGATGACTTCTTCCTGCAAATTCAGCAAAAGCAGCACCAATAAAACATCCCCAACTGGCTTCTGCTAGAGCTTTTGTCAACTGGCACCAGGAATTTTAAAGGCAAAAGCCATGTCACCCTCAAGGCCCAGGGCAAACAAGGCATGCCTTACTGCAGGCAGATGAGGGCACAGGCAATGTCTGGAGAGGAACGGCAGGGGCTGGGGGACCAGCAGCTCCAGGCCCGAGGAGACCCACGGAACGAACGACCCTCTGGCCTCCAGCGCCAGCCCTCCCCCAGGCAACCACCAAGGCCCAGTAAGCGGCCCAGGACCAAGAGCAGAGTGACCAAGAATGAGACTAGCCCTGAGCAAGAGCGTGACGCCACTATCCCTGCAACATGTCCCTGTCCACACAACCTGTGTCCCCATGTCCATACTGAGCCACCTTCTCCTCTCTCCTCAATGGCCACCTGCAGGGCACTCACCCAGGCCCATGCAACCCCGGGGATTCATGCATAGAATTCAGGGGCTCCATCTACTTGAGAAAAAGATAAACGTATATTTTCTCCAACCTCTAATACAAATCTACATTTTCTTCAATTATTAACTAACCACTCAGCTATTCGCAGTGCATGTGAATCTGTCACCAGCCAAAGTCAAAGGTATTTTCATATCACATTATTGCTGTTGCAGTATCTCGAAATATCACTTTTGCTCATCACTACTGCACAATTAAGGTGGTTAGGACTGCTAGCTTTTATTAATGCATTAATAAAGATGCATATACGACTGTATCACAAATTTATTTAACATTCTGGTAACTGTATTTCCATGTAATTGGTTTTCCTTGTAATCTTCTGTATCTATTCCATGGATTTGAAAACATTATGCTGAGAACGGTGCCTACGTTTCACCGATGCCTGTGGGGTCCATGGCACAGACAAAGACAAGATCCTTGCTGCAGAACGTGGAGCCACTTGTGGATGGGGCCAAGCTGCTGAGCTCCTGGCAAGGGAGGCCAGCCAAGGACCTCCAGGCAGCCCACCGGGTCACCACAGGTGGAGAGGGCCTGGAGGCAGCTGCTCAGCACCTCCCACCCCACCTCTCTTGCTCCTGAGGAGGGCCAGGAGGCCAAGCACAGGTGGGGACAAGAGGGCTGTGTGCAGTCAGGACCGGGCCTGGGAAGAGCCACGAAGGCAAAGGTGCACTCAGTGGCCAGCCCCCCTCCCCCCACCACCCCCCTTCCTCCAGGGTCAGCCCGAGGCCTCTGCACCAGGAGCACAAGATTCACATCAGGGTGGGGACGGGCTTTTGACCCAGAACATGACTCCTGCAGACACTTTCCCTCCAGAAGAATGCTGACTCCAGCATGACCTATGACCCAGGAGGGGCACACCCAGGGCAGCTCACCTGCTGCTTCTTGCTGGCTCTGCAACGGCCCCTGGGAGCCACCCAGTTAAAGATACTTCTTCATCCTACCTCTCAGAATTCTGTCCCCCTTCTCATCACAATTCCTGTCCTCAGGCACTGAGAGTCTCCCAGGAAAGAGGGACTAATTTAGAATAAGTCCCCCTTTTCATTCATTTCACTAAGCACCAATCACAGGGATGCCCAGACTAACCTGGGGGTACAAACTGAAGGGGTCCCTGGGCTCCAAGGATGCCAGGAGGGGCGTGAAAGGAAGCAGCCCCTCACCCAACCAGGATGGGCAGACGTGGACAAACGTCTCTTTCCCCAGAGGGGAAAACTAGGATTTCCTGGTGTTCTGAGAAGGAAGCCTTGAGTGGGAGATCAGGAACTTCTGGGAGAAGGAACCATCTGAACTGGGACTGCAAGCATGGGACAATCATGTCAGAGGAGAAGGGCATTCCAGGGCCAGCAGGTAAGTAGACAAGGGAACAGGAGAATGGGAAAAGCCACGTGGTGGGAAAAAGCCACACACAGACAGGTCTGGCTGGAACCAAGGAGAAGACAGGGCTGCCCCCCACCAAGTGCCGTGGGATAGGGAACCTTCTCCATGGAGTATGGGATGTGACCTCAGAGCAGACACTGTCTCAACCTGAAGCCCATGCCCAGTCTGGCAGGGCGGGGCAGGATCAACCATGAAACACTCCCCAGAGGAGCATCTTGAGCTTCTAATTGAATCTGAGATGCTAACTTAGGGCTTCCACTGCTCCCCAAATCCTATGGGGCACACCCTGGTCCCCCGGAACTTTCATGGGCCTCCCCTGTGCAAGGGTCTGGTAGGGCTCTGTAGGCAGCCAAATCCAACCCCCGAGGAGCCCATGGCCATGACTTGTTGGTGTGATGCCTCGTTACGCCTAATACTCTGATCTGTCCTGTGAGTAGAGTCAGAAGCCAGGATTTGCTTGAAATACATTCAATCCTCCTCCCTTTTAAGGAAGGCGCTGGGCTCAGCTTCAGGCTCAAAGTGCCCACAGGACAGCTCCACACCAGACTGGGACAGCTCTTCTCAAAGAGGCCCTGCCAAGTTCTGGAAGCCCCTTGTGCCGTTCTGACAGCATACCTCTCCTAAACCTGTTTTACCTGCCTCACCCACCCGGCACAGTGGCCCAGAAAATCAGCTCTGCTAGAAGAGCCCTCCCTCCAGGATCCAGCCAGTCCCCCCCGGCTGGGCTCCTCTCTATCTTCAAGACTGCAGCAGATCTCAGGCCAGCTTGGAGGCCCGAACCCAAACACAGCCCCTGGAACTCACTGTGACCACCTGCCCCAGCCAGACATAGATGCAGGCACCAGCCTGCTCACTCTGCTCTTTTAGAGGGTCACAGGCTAGGTTCAAGGTTCTCAAGAACCCCGAATTCCCCGATACCCATCTCTGCATGCACAGTTCTCTACCTGAAGGGCATCTCATTGCTTAAAAACTAGCACAAAAGTCATCCAGGGAGTGATGCCTTCCCATGCTCTCCCCCGAGCTCAGAGTCCGTGCCCCTTCTCTGCACAAACCAAGATCAGACACAGACAGATGGGTGACAAGAGTCCCATGTGTCTGTCTGCCCCAGTGGCCTATGAGCACCTGAGGTAGGTCCAGTGCCACTCCTGCAATCCTGGTGTATAGCAGGTGCCCACTAAATGTTTGATTTATATGTTCTAAGTTCCCCCAACCTTGGGTGCCAACTGAGAACCCACTTTCTGTTGCCACTGTTCCCACCTCCCGAAAAGAGAGGTGCATTCAGTCCACTAGTCCCCCCATTCTGATCTCAGTTCCTGACCTGGCACGTGGGGCACGGCCCCCTGCCTCTCCCAGCGCGCTGCACCACCAAGCCTACACCTACCCCCCCACCTCCCCACCCCTCCACCCACCCACACTGAACTCACACATAGCCCAGGGGAGCAAGCTTTTCAAAAAAAAACAGATTAAAACTTTTCCAGCGCCTCAGGACAAAGTCTGGAGAGGCCACCTGAGCCACCACGCCCTGTAGCCCTGCCAACTACCTTACTCTCTGTCCCCAAAACACTCTGAACTCTCAACCTTTGTCTCTTAACCTTTGCTCACACGCTCCCTCATCTGGGACATTCTCCCCAACGCTTCAGTGAGCCTGTCTGTCCACACTCCCTCCCACTAGGACCACTCACCCTTCCCTCCATTCAGCCACATGCCGGAGCAGCTCCTGTGAGCGAGGCACGGGCGCAGCGAGGCCCAGGGTGAACCAGAGAAGTTGCCCTGCCCTTGCATCCTACACCGAGAGAAGGCAATCAACAAGTACGAACGCTCCACAGAGTTTATCAGCTGGAAATAAGGGCCACAGAAAGTGTCATAGGGGGTCAGCGAGGGATTCTCTGAGAAGGTGACATCGGGACCCTCGAGGAAGTGAGACGTGCCCCTATGGGAAAAGGGGATTCCGAGCCCGTCTCAAACACCGCCTCCTGCGGGAAGCGCCCGGATGCCCGGCGCCCCTGCAACGCCGCCCTCCCATCTGAGCATCGCCGCAGTGAACCCGCCAGTCCACCCGATCCCCCAGCTCGGCCGCGCACGCGCGTGGGTGGGGCCCGAGCGCCGAGGCGGCTCCCCCAGGCCGGCGGGAGGACGGGAGCTGCGGGGACGCGGGCGCTGACCCGCCCGGAGCGGAGAGCCGGCGCCCCGCGGCCCCCGGCGGCCCCCCGGCGGCCCCCCGGCGGGCCCGGCTGGGGGCTGTCACCCGCTGTCCGCCGATCGCCCGCGGCCGCTCTCCGCGCGCCGGAGGGAGCCGGGGACCGAGCAGCACTCACCCGGCGGCCGCCGCCATGTTCGCCCCGCGCGAGGATCACGTGAACTGCGGCGTCAGCTGAGCCGGGCCTGGCCGGGTCCCCCTGCGGGCCGGGGGCGGGGCCGGGGGCGGGGCCTGGATTCACGCCCCGCCCCTTCCAGCGCCAGGCCCCGCGGGAAGGGAGGGGCGGAGCCCTGGGGAGGAGCTGGGACCCACGCGGGGCCTGGGGGCTCAGTGCGGGTGGGGCGGGGGCAGCATCCGGGGCCTTTCCCGCGCGGGCGTGCGAATCTGCCGCGGTGGCCATTGGTTCTGGCTCAGCCCGGGCCCTGGAGGCCCAGCCGGCCCTGGGGAGAACTCTCTGGAATTAAGAAACCATGGAGGGGAGGGGAGAGGGAGCGTGGGGAGGGGATACCGACCCAGGCCGGGGTGGGCAGAGGTGGTGGCCACTGTTGCTGGAGAAGAGAAAGGGCTGGAACAGAAGGCTGGGGCCCTTGGAGGACCCAAATGCTCATTGCTCAGGAGAGGGAGCGTGGGGAGAGAGGGCCAGCCCCAGTAGGACCTTGAATCAGGGCGGCTGAGTAGGTAGGACCTCTTCCAAGTTCCCTAACTGCACGATGGAGGAGAACCTGGAGGGAGGCCGGGGAGGAGGCCAGGGAGGGGTGTGCACAGTGGAGAGGGGTTCAGGAGGGAGGGTCTACCAGAGGGCTTGCCCCTCTGCCCAGCGGGGCAGTGGTGTTGGGCCCAGAGTCCTACAGAGAAGTGGCGGGAGGAGATCAGGAAGCAGAGGCTGCCCTCCCGAATGCCAGCAGGTACCGGGCACTTACGGGCACCGGCCCCAATGCTTTGCAAACGTTAGCGCATATAAATCTCCCAGCAGCCCTGTAGGGCAGAGACTATCCCTAATGCCATCTTACAGACGGGGACACGGAGGCCCAGGGAGGTGGACGGCCTGCCAGAGCTCACACAGGGGCCACGTTCATGCGGTCGCACCCCCCTGAGGAGTGACCCACGCTGTCTCTGCCAGGGAAGGGGGTCTAGGGCTGTGGGGAGAAGGTGGGCCTGGGATCCTGGGCCACACAAAGGGGTGACAGGAGTTAGGGCCCAGCACATGGCCACGGGGCTCCCGACCGCAGCCCCCGGCTGTCCCCCAGCTGGAAGTGGCTTCTGGTCAAAGGGCTTGGGTTGGGGGATGCTTCTTGCTTCTTTGCTGTGACAAGGATGGTGGGGCACCGTCACGACAGGGCCCCTTGAACAGGAGGAGCGGAGCCAGACATAAGCGGGTGGGGATGGGGTGAAGGGCATGTGGCCCAGCTGCTGGGAATTTCAGTGTCGTCCCTGTTGTCCTCATCTGTCAGGAGGGAGCTCATAGGGCCTCTAGTGTCACAGAGCTGCTGTAGGATTTCGTGCTCAAATGTGGCACAGGCAGAGAAGCCGAAGCTGTCAGGAGGCAGGTGGCACATCCAGATATCCCTTCCCACCCTGAGACCCTGCTAAGGCAGGGGAGAGTTGTTGGAAAACGCGGGCCTCCTCCCTCCTACCCCTTCCCTCTACGCACAGGCGCTTCTCGGGGGTCCCTGACGTGAAGACCAGACCCAAGAGCGTCTCTCCACCCTCGTGCCAGTTTCCAGGGAGGAGAGCAGGGGCACGAGGGGCCACACCCCGCTGCCTGGCACTGGAGGAGCCCTAAGATTTTAGACCCACGCTCTGAAGCGGCAGCTCCACCTTCAGCTGAAGACACTCCAATCCCTAACAAAGGACACTTTTAAAAAATAACAAAGGGTGAACAGAATGAGCTTTTCACGCTCCTTTGTGGAAGGAAAACCTGTCCCCCAGCTAACTGCACCTGCTTCCGCCATTTCTTTTGACAATAAAATATGTCAAAGTTAAGCCAGCTGCCAACTCTGTTTATTAATATGAAAAAGCAGTAATTATCCTAAACATTCACAAAGTAGTAGTAGTAGTAGTAGTAGTGGTGGGGGAAGGCACCCACCAACGGAGTGGGGTGCGCCGGTTTGTGGGCAGTAGTAGAGGCATTGCCCACGGCTGCTGCCCACCCAGGCCTGCCCTGCCGCAGTTCTGTGAGCCTGGCGCTGCGGGCTGTCCCCCACCCCTGCCCATCCTGTAGCAGGGGCTCCAGGAGAGGCTGCCTGGGGTGCGGGAGCAGCTTGCATAGTTACTCATGCAGGGCAGGCCCAGGATGCCGCTGGGAGCCAGGAGGCAATTGGAGAAAGATTGATTTAGAGAGTCACAGCGAGAGTGTGTAAATCAGCTTCAGGACAGCGCCCCAGGCGGCACGCTCGGGCTTCACGCGGCATTGCCTCCGAGGTCACAGTCCGCTGGCGGAAACACTCTCCCAGTACTAATGCCCTACAGGTGGCTGGGCGGCGCCTGTGCCCAGTCAGCTGGGTCACCAGGGCATCGTACTCAGCAGAAGTGTCGCCCATGCCCCCAGCCAGAGACCTGCGCAGGAAGCTCCATCCGGGGAGGCCTACGCCTTTGTCCCTGGGACGCTGTGTCTGGCCAGGTTTCCCTGCTCTGCCCACCTGCCTCACACTGAGGACGCTGCTCAAGGCTGGCTGCCCGGGGGTTGGCAGGTCCCGACATGGCGACCTGCCAGGCTCTGACTCCTTGAACCACCCTTGGGGCCACGCAGGGTGTCCCCTGGAAGACCCGTGGCATGAGCCCATCCGTCTTCCCCAGTGTTACCGAGGACCCTGGTCTGCAAGAAGGCTCTGTGGGAACAAGCTTGGCCCGAACACTGGCTCTGCCCCAGCTGCTGAGCTGCCGCCCATGCTGTGAGGGCCAGGAGCCCAGCCCCTGCCCTGGAGGACTTTGGATGGGGTGTGGGGGCGTGGCCAGAGGAAGAAGGGGAGCCTCTGCATTGTCTCTGAACAGCCCACCACCTGGGAGGGCTGCAGAGCAGAGCGGGGCTGCGTGCTGCTACTCCTCCTTGCTAGCAGGGGACGCCAGGGATCTTGAGCAGGGAGCGGTGGGTCCGCGCCCATCCCCCAGGCAGGAGCTCAGGAGGGTTGGCAGAGAGATCTGGGAAGAGCCAGTGCAAGGCTCTGTTGTACCAGCCACGTGGGGCCACCAGGCTCAGATGGTGGAACCCCCCCATGGGATGGCATTTGGGTTTAGTGACTGTTTTTGCTACCAGCACCAAGTAGAATGGAAAGAAAGATAAAAGGGGGTGGGACATGGGGGTGACAAGGGGCAGAGAGGTACATTCCAACCCAGCCTCCCCCCAAGTGGGGAAGGAAGGATCGTAATGCCCATGGTGCCCAGGAGGTTGTCTCTCCATCCTGGGGCTGGCAGGTCCCAGCCTTCACCCTGTGCGGGGCCAGAGGGACAACCGCAGCTCTTCCAACCCCTCCCTCTAAAGCCACTCCCCAGCCATCACCACCATCTGTCAGCCCCTCAGAGGACCCGCCTCACCCTCTACTCTTCCTGCCGGTCCTCCCCTGGCCCAGCCCACCTGCTCGCAGGAAAGAGGTGGGTAGAGCTGCCGAGACTTCCCCAGGAACCCCCCACCACCACCTCCGATGAAGTGGTCCCTGCTGAGTGCTTTGCCCGGCCTAGAGGCAATTCGAGATGAGAAATGGAACGCTGGCTTCAGAGTGGCAAATCATTCCAACAGCACCTGAAGAACCTTGGAGGAAACAAGCTCTTTCTGTGTGTGTGCGAAAATGGGGACTATATTGTTTTTCACTGTTTGGAAGACTGTTTTCTCCTCTTGAAATCACAAGCTGTTTTCTTCCAGGGGGACTTATAAATACATTCAATTATCGACATTCAATATAGGAAATAAAGTTCTGGAACGGTTTTCTTCCTCGCTGGCGGAACGGGCCGGCCAGGTTGGGCAGGTGATAATTACTTTTATTTCTCACCAGCCGTATTGGCGCGGAGTGGCTGGAAGTTCCACCTTTCATTGCTCTCACCTTTTATTACATTTTCCACGCTGTGCTGGGCTGTTCATTGGTGTGACTTTATTACCCCATTTCAGGGTCTTGATAAAAACGGAATGAAGTTTCTAATTTCAATAGTATGAGTGCAAAGTCCCCAGGTAGGGGGATTTGGTTGTGCAGCTTGCGACCTGGAGAGAAACTTGCTAGGGGGACGGACCGTCCTCCTGCCCAGCTCCAAGTCACTCAAGTCTCTGGCTGGACAGTGGGTCTCTGCTGGCATTCACAACTCTTCCTTTTAGGGACTCTGCTCAGGGGGTCATGTTAAGAAGGATGCTCTCAGCACTGCAGGAAAGCACCCACAGACTGTCCCCTGCGGCCACCTGTCCTTCTGTCCATGCCACCAGCAAGACTGATCCCCTATTTCTCCTCCCTCTGTTTCTGCTGGCATTACTCCCAACCTCAGCCCTGCCTGCCCTCCTCTGCTCTGGCCCACCCTGCCCCATGGCTCTCCCGCCGCTCCCCTGCGTGGCTGCCTGGCCGTGGTCTCTTCCTACTCTGAGTCTCCGAGATCACCGGGGTTTTCTGTAGCAGACAGCCCCTGGGTCCGGGTACCTGGAGTAGAAGAGGGATGCCTTGGAGGGATGGTAGGTGGCACAGTGGAAGGAGAGGTGGGCTCAGAAAACAGGTGGGAGCCACAGAGGCTGGTAGCCGGGCCACACCACCAGGCCGCCCACTAGGAAATGTGGCAGCTGCTCAGACCCTGGCCCCCACCTCTGGCCCTGGGCATGCCTGGGGCTGACACAGCATCCTGGCTTTACTGTCCTGCCCACGCCCTGGCTATTGTGTCCCTCTTGGCTTCTGCCGGGGGTGGGAATATGTGGAGAAGGGTGAGTACCCAGCATTTCACCAAGTTCTGAGACAGTAGTACATATATACAAAGCCCTGCAGTGATGGATCAGATTGGGGTACCAGCAACCCCCCAAAAAAAATCTTGCAAAGTTCTGCTTGTATAAGCACACCCTGAATATTGCAATCAGAAAGTTAGAATGCAGCTATTTTCCTTTCAGCATAAATGTGAGTTTCCTGTTTCATGGTTTGGTGTAGTTTTTAATGTCAGTTTACAGTTGACATGGGGACGGGATACCCAAGTTTGGGTTCCATAGCTCCTGTCTAGCTCTGCCTCCTTGGCAAATCAATATCCCCACAAAACACCAGACTCACTGGCTCCTGCCAAAGGAGTGCAGGCAGGGCTGAGGTCAGGAGTAATTCCAGCAGAAACAGAGGAGGAGGAACAGGGGATCCGGTCTTGGCGGTGGCTTGGACAGAAGGACAGGTGGCTGAGGGGGACACAGCCTATGACTGCTTTACATGAAGTGCCGAGAGTATCCTTCTTAAAATGACCCACGGCCCAGGCAGGAAAGCTCACTGGCCGGGCCGGGGGACCCATGGGGGCCCCCCACTGGCCGGAGAGCCCAGGCACCCACCACCCCCACCCCAAGACCAGCACTGAGCAAAAGCTTGCTGAGACCAAGTGTTGTACGGCTCTCTGGAAACACCTGTTAAAACCAAGAAAACTGAAAACGAAGCCTTCTGACCTATAATTGCAATGCTCGCGATCTCCCGTCAAGAAACTCTGCTTGTGAGCATGAAGAGACAGAATCCAGAAGGCTCGTTGCAGCGCTGTTTGAGATAGTGGAAAATTGGAAGCAATGTGAGTATTCCGTGATAAGCAAATTCTCGTCTACTCACGTGCTGGGAGACCAGTTCAGAGGAATGGCCCACCTGTTGGGTGTCAACTCCCAGACGTCTCAACAGCATGTTGTGAGTGAGAAGCGGGAGGAGGGGGCATGCCCTGCTCGCTTACAAAACCTGTAAAACAAGAAGCCAGTTCTGTAAATTCTCTGCAGACACGTGTTTATGGGTGTAAAAGCACTTAAAAGGTCTGGAAGGAAATAAGCCCAGGCAGTGGGCTCAGGGAGAGGGGCCGGCTACTCACGGGGAGCTTGGAGGGGCTCTAACTTCACAGAATGGTCTGATTATTTTTCTTCTTAAGGAGAATCTATTCATGCATTTGAGTCATTAAGAATAAATAAGACGATTTTTAAAAAGAAAATCTCTGTCTCAGAAATGCTCCTCAGCCCGTCTCTGTGGGGCCCCCTTTGTGGTCTCTGGGGGGCTTGTTTGAATGTAGGGGAGCTGCCCCCAGACAACCCCCCCTCACCCCCACCCTGGCCGGTCTCTGCCGCTGTCCTTACCAGCTCCTAGCTCCAGAGTCAAACGTCAGACTGTCCCTGGGAAGGGAGCCGGTTGGTTTGTGGTTTGAAGGAAAAGGCCCGGTTGTCATTCATACGGGTCACAGAGCTCCCCTGGGCTGGTGCCAGAGGGGAGGGGGTTCCCCAGCTGGTGGGAGCCCTGACCCTGTGCATGCACCCCCACCCCTGCCTGCCCACCCCAGCCCACCCCCTACACCCTACCTCTCCGTGCTACCGACCCATCTTCTGACCTCCACCCCCCCCAGCCCCAGAGCTCATACGCTCATCCCCAACTCCACCAATGCCTACCTCTGACCCCTGACCCCTGACCTCCACATCCACCACATCAACCACTACTCTGACCCCCAGCCCCCCTGCCTCTCCCTGATCCCCGACCCCCTTCCCTGCTAGCTCCTCCTGCCTCATTTCCTCAGCTCTGGAGAGAAAGGGGGACCAAGACTTCGGTGGGGCGGCCGCCAGTGAGAAAGAAAATGGTATTTTAGGCCTTTACTCGTCGAGAAAAGGAGTGTCCCCCTCCCCTTCCCCAGGGTTTGCAAGAGGGCGCCCAGCCCCTCCTGCTTCCCGGTTTCCATCCTCCTCTGTGGTTTCCATGGAGTCCGAGATTTGCTCCCAGCACCTGAGCCCAAAAGCCAGGGGGAGGGAAGCGGGAGGGGGGGTGGCCCCCCCATCGGGGGAAGGGGGGAGGGGAGGCTGCCCCCCAATAGCCCCC